TGTTTCATTGATTGTTCCTTTTCCTTTTAATAGGCAAGCAACAATTGAAAGAAAAAGAAAAAACCAGTAATTATGACATTTGTGACTTAATTTCAGGTCAATAAAAATTTGTGACGAATTGTCTATTATTATGTTCTTATTATACAGATTCAGAATCTGATGATGCAGAAATAGCAACAAGTTACCTGTATAATCATTCCTATTCAAGTGATGAAGAGTCATTAAGTTCAACTTCTTCTGCACCTGATGAAAAAGTATCACATTCACTCCCTTTTCCATTAGTGCCTATACCACCAACACTTTCTTATGCTATGATTAGAAAAATGCTAGAAGAAGGTTTAGAATCTGATGAAGTAATTGGCAAAAATGACACACTAAGTAGTTCATCAGCTTTGCAGCAGTTTAGTGAACAATTCGCCTTTGTTAGAAAATATTATAATATCAAAGTTAACGAAGGACCAAAAAGACAATGTAGAATTTTAAGTGATAACCTTAGTTTAAATTTTGATGACGACTTGATTTATAAGTTTGAGAATGGCAAGTATGATTCAGCAATTTCATCTTTACTTAGTTTTACCAATAGTGAATATTTAAAGACAGTTAGATCAAAGGAATGTAATGCTAACTTGCTGCACTGGGCTGCATATCATGGATGGATTGATATAATTGACATGCTGATTAATGATCATGGCTTTGATCTAGTGTTTACAAATACAGCTGGTCACACATGTGTTCATTATGCTGTTTTTGGTCGGAAATTAGAGACTCTTAAAGTATTGGTCACAAAACACCATTGTGATCCTATTTGTAAAGATTCAAAAGGTAGAACTCCCCTTTTTATTTCAATAGCACGTGGATACTTTGATATTATTAAGTATTATATGACATCATTAGGTTATGATAGTTGCAATGGTAAGCCTCTTGGCATTGTTGCTGCAAGGCATGGGTATCTTCATGCATTGAAATACCTAATTAAGGAATGCAATTTCAATGCAAGCAAGTCGACATGTTCAGAAAACAATACGGCTCTTGATTATGCAGCAAGACATGGGCATTTTAAGACTGTAATGTATTTGGTAATAGAATGCAAGTGTGATCCTAATGAAGGCTGCATGAAGCCTCTTCACCATGCATCACAGAAAGGGCACATTGACATTGTCAAGTATTTAATTTCAAA